AATATTCATATATGGTGAATTTGGTTTTGTATGTAAATTATAAATTAAATCATAAATAATTTTTAATTTATAATAATAATTCATTATTATTATTATTATTATTATTATTTATAATAATAATAATGTAATAATTTATAGCATAATAAATTATAAATTAAATATTTTTTTCTAAGAAATAATAATAAACACCTATGCCAGACTGCTTGATATGCTTTAATTTCCATCTTTTAGTAAGTTTTTCCCTTCCTTAATTATGTTATCAGGACAGATGTGTCACCCTGACAGTATATTTTCAAGAAATATAAAAATTAAAAATATCATATAAGAGGCGTATTCAAGGCATTGCATGTATGAATTGCATTTATGATGTATTTTTGAATAAATGAAGATGAGCATCACATCATTAACACAGAACACAAATTGTGATGTTTAGCAGAATGTTAACGTCGCTGTTTTCCATACAGTGAATGTACTGTATATTAGAAAGTGCTAGTTAGCAGCTTTGGTAAATGAATGGAGCCGCTTTGCGGGTTCCTCCGTTTTACACATTCCACACATCAATACAAAACCCAGATGAATATTTAGGAGATCGTTTATCTTATCATTACCTTTCATTAAGTCTCAGAAGCCATTTACACCCCTGGCCTGACACCATAGCCGAACGATAACTAATTTCTGAACAGTGACCTAGGTGGGCAATTAAGCATAGGCAGAGGGCTGAAAGTGAGAAAACATCTAACATACATATGCCACTAATTGAGGCGCCAAGACAAGAATGACTAATGTGGAGGCGCGCAGTTAAGGGAATTAGAAGCGTACTGCACCGCTTTCACTCGCGCTCTCTTTCTTTTCTCTGAGCAAATGTCTCGGGATGCTGGTGGACAGTCAAAGGCACCTGTGCTTTCATTACCAGACGCCACTGAGCTCTATTAGCTTTGAGAGACTGAGATCAATCCAAATGAGTGAGAGACAGTGGCTTCCCTGAGCCAGCAGATGCTGTTTACTAAAACATAAAGGGATAGTTCAGGCCCACAAGATGAGAATTTCATAATGGTTTACTCATACTCATGTCATTCCAATCCTGTATGTTTTTCATTCTTCAGTGGAACACAAAAAGAGATGTTTAGCAGAATGTCCGAGCTGCTCTCTTCCAAATAATGAAAGTGAATGGGGAAAAGTATTTTATAAGATACACTATTATTCAAAAATTTTGGGACGGAAAGATTTTTTAATGTCTCGTTTGCTCATCGACAATACTTTTATTCAATCAAAAATACTATAAAAACTCTAATATTGTGAAATTATACTACAATCTAAAACTGTTTTCTATTTGAATATGTTATAAAATGTAATTTATTCCTATGATGCAAAGCTGAACTTTCAGCATCATTACTCCAGTCTTCAGTGTCATATGATCCTACAGAAATCATTCTAATATGCTGATTTGCTTCTCAAGAAACATTTCTTATTATCAATGTTGATAGCAGTTGCGCTGCTTAATATTTTTTTGTGGATATCATGAGACAGTTTTTTCAGATGCCCCAAAGTAGATGGGGACTGGTTCTGGTCAAGCTCCAAATGTCAATAGCAGCATAAAAGTGTAATAGTGCTTCATATGACTCGTGTATGATATTACAATTCTTCTGAAACATAATTTAAGTCAACATTCACTAAGATAGTCATTCACTCCAGGATTTTGTGATTCTGCAGAATTTATGTTTATATTTATGTTAAGTGTGTTGGACAAAAAGAAAATTTATAGAGGCTTAATAATAATATTAAACTACTATGTTACTCATTGTATTGTATTCATTATACTGAATATAATGTATAAGATGAATATTTGCTAGTCTCCATAATGCCTGATTTCACCAGTAGACAGATTTAAAATGCATAATATAATAATAAAAAAGACTTTTATATATATATATACATTTCTAGTGAATGCAATTGCTTATAATAATATCATAAATTGAAAAACCAAAAACAATATTACAACAATAGATGATATAATTGTTAAATATATGTTTGTTAAATTGTAAAAACATGAACATTTATAACATTTAAATTGTAATGTTATACATACTGATTCAGTGATAATGTTCAAGCTATTGTCACAATTCTATATTTTCAGCAAAGCAGAATTATGAGTATTTCTATGCTGGTGTCACTATTGTCTTGTGCATGAGGGACCAGAACCACAATTTCAGTAATTATGCACAAAACGATTTACAGATAAATGTAAAAGTACATCATAATTATAGTGGGTTTTCAATGCAAAACAACACAAAAATGCCCCAAATATCACAAAAATCCTGGTGGGACTGAAAACTTCATACTTGACATTCATGGTCACCATTCACTTTCATTGTATGTATGGAAAGAAGCAACTCTCACATTCTGATATAAATCGCTCGTTTTGTGTTCCTCAGTCATTCAGGTTTCAAAATGACATGAATGTGTGCACCATTAAATATGTTAAAACTCGACCTGAGTGTGAAACTTTCACAGGGATATGCAATGAGAAACATTAATTAGTCTGTATGGTAATTTCACTTCTGGATTTTTCCGAAAAAAAGCCCCAACATTGAACACACAAGGCTGCAGGAACCGACATGAACATCTTGCATTTGTTATTTCGAGATGTCCCAGGGCCATTATTGAAAACTTCTCCTGCAACAGTGTTCTTCCTCCCTCTTCTGTGCCTGTTGGATATTGCTTCACAGTCTTAGTTCACGGCTATAAACAGTCACCAGAACAGATGGCTTCTCCAACTACAAGCTGTAATCATGTCAGATCCATCTGCTCTTACTCAATATCACTTCCTGCTTAGATGGGGCTCCACAGGGCCCTTGTCCCACCTGCAACTTCCTGTTTCCCCTCACCTGATTTCCTGCTCCACTGCCCCTGCTGTGATCATTTTTGTTCAAATAGGAAATGCTTTTAGAGAAAGGTTGCTCTGAATGAATGGATGGTTTGATGGATATATGTGAGTATGGATGAATGGATGGTTTCATGGATGGCTGGGTGTGCAAAACGAAATGAGGCACATTTGGGGGTTTTACATAACGATTTCTTCCCAAAATGTTCCCAAAAGAAGATGTGTTTCAATAATATCTTAAAGAAAAAAATGAAAGATCACTTGCACACCTTCACGTTGTTCCAAACTTGCTATTATTATTATTATTATTATTATTATTATTATCGTTGTTGTTGTTGTTAACAACAATAATAATAATTAGAATCATAATAATTAACCGTAACAATCAATACTATTGTTGTTAATGAAAATATTATTGCTGTTATTATTATTATTATTATTATTATTAATAATAACAATAATAATAATTAAAAACCTTAGCATAAAACTTGGTACCTTTAATATTTACTTTATTATTATTATTATTATTATTATTATTAAGAATAATAATTATGAGCATCATAATAATTAACTGTAAACCTAAAACTTGCTAGCTGTAATATTTACTTTAATTAATCTTATTATTGTTGATGATAATATTATTGCTATTAATGTTAATAATAATAATATAAATAATAACAATAAATCTTACTATAAAACATGGTAACATTAAATTATTAAATACTTATTTTATTATTATTATTATTATTATTAACAAATAATAATTTTCAGCATCATAATAATTCATCATAACCATAAAACTGGCTGACTGCTAACTGTAATATTTACTGTAATATTCTTATTATTATTGTTGTTGATGATAATATTATTGCTGTTGTTGTTGTTAATAATAATAATAAACATTACCATAAAACTGGATATCTTTAATATTTACTTTATCATTATTAATATTATTATTTATAGTAAAGGGAAACATGGAACCATGAAAAGCCTGGGGGTGATTAAATGGTAACAGAATTTTCATTTTTGGGGTAAACTTCCTTAAAGAGTATTTCATATATTAGGCAACTCTTCCAAAGTCTGGCACCAATCAGGCACGGTATGGCAAAGTCAAACCTCTACCGTCGGGCGAATGCCGTAAACAATTTTCCTTTTGTTGTTAAGAAGTAAACTATTCTCCGCAGGATGCCTGATGAGAAGAATCCAGGAGATGGTCTCATACTGTGCAGGGGAATGTCACTCACTCTCGAGAGGCAGTTACCGTTCCTCATCAGCATATCAACCAATGCACATAATCTCAAAAACAAAACACATTTACATACTCATGTGTCAGTCATTGATAATCTTGAATTTAAATAATGGGGAGAAAGGTAAGTGGCAGGCAGAATATGGAAGAGCTGGAGTGTTTATGGGTCTGTGTGTGATTGGTAATTAAGCTTGGGCTCTGTGTGGGTAATGTGTGTTGATTACTGTGCACTGACCAGTGAAATGTGAAGGACAGAGAGAGCGGTCGCTGCTGTGAGGGACCTACACTGAGTGCTTTTAAAGAGCTCGAGTCCCTCGTAAGCAAAGAGGCATCCATTTTTCAAGCCGTATGGGACACAATTGCATTTTATAATTCGTATTTCAGGGTATGGTTTGCATCTTTTTTGCAAGACAGTTATTATGAGAAATGAAATGCAGAGCGCTTTCTGAATGTTTCTACGGTTTTATATCACTGTAAAATCATGTAATCTAAAAATATTGTTTAGGATGTCTAATATGTCTCTAATTTGTAAAATGTTATTTAATGGTTTAAATCTCCCTGGCTAGGTCACACCAATAAAAGCAATTTTGGAGAGATCAAATATAAATACCTTCTTAAAGAAGCACATTTTCACATTGCAGTGTTCATTCATGTTGCAAACTTACCGCGTTCAATACAAGCTGATTTTATGTTCAATAGAAACTGTAGTTATGGTCCACTTACAGTGGAAGTGAATTGGGCCAATTTTTTGGATGATTTGCAAGCATTAATGTAAAGCTTATTAAGTTGTCAAAGCATATCATTTTTTCTGTTAAAACTTTTATATTATTTGAGTTGTAAAGCTGTTTGAAACTTTCTCTGTCTTTTTTCCAGTGGTTTTAGGGTTCTCAGTGTTTCATTGCCATGGCAAGAAAGTCAATTTGGAGATAACTTCACACAGAAAAGGTCAGTAAGTGATTTTTTTTTCACACTAAAACCATGTCAATGTAGTAATGTAGCACATTGTTTATTTACTGTGACTAAAGTATTGCAATAATAATAATATAATTGTTATTAATACCAGTAACATTAATAATAATAATAATAATAATAATATTCATAGAAATTATGATTACTATTGTTGTAGAATATATGAAAGTTAGCAAGTTTTATAGTAACGTTAATTATTAGCATTATTTATTATTAGCATTAAAATTAAAAATTGCATTTAATTTCATAAACTATTTCATAAACTATTATGGATTTAAAATTGTTTATACACAGAGTGTTTTTTTAAGTGTAAGCATGGGTTTTATGTAAAGTTATATGAAGTGTTTTATGTAAAGTTATCTTAAGATTTGTATTAAAGTCATTTTTCTCATCTAAGGTTAATTATTAGCATTATTTATTATTAGCATTATTACTTTTAGTAGTTAACAATAACATTATTATCAATAATAATAATAATAATAATCCATTACCATTAATAATAATGACAATAATAATAATAATAATAATAAATAAGAATATCAAACATAATGATTAGTAGTAATAGTATTGTTACTGTTATTGTAAAAATTCAGTATTGTGGACTAAAAATTAAAATGCAAATTTACATTTTTACACATTGGTTCTGTTCACTGCTTCATAGCAACTCTTTTTTTCAATTTTGCTATTTATAACTAAACGGAGGGGCACGTGGAAATTAATTTTGTGGTAATAAGCATTATTCTTTTATTATACATAGCAATTACATGTCAGTTCTAAATGAAAAACTGAGTTATAAATTTAGTACACTCATAGGGATAACTGAAATAATTTTTCAAATGTGCACTGTAGTGAACTAGCCTTGTCTAATCCAAAGGTTCGTGATGCAAATGTCATCCCTAACCCTTTCCCACCAGGCATGAACACTCGAGGTATGGAAGTCACGGCCAACAGACTGGATCTCAGCGTTCCCTTCCTGTCTTTTGTCCCAGGGGTCTGTCTGTGGCGTCCATCCAGGTCGAACGCGCAGGTAAGCCCATGCTGTATTTCTGCTCGGGACCTGTGCACCCTGCCATCTGGGCAGGTGCTGCTCCTATGTCCTATCCTCCGATTCGTTTAAAATCCCGGCTGGTGGGTCAGTGCCCCGTGTGCGGCGGAGTGCTGATTTCAGTTCTGAGAAGGGCTGGGGGCCAGCAACCCCTCAGAGAGGCAAGATAGTAGCATGACATTAAAAAGGCTTCTGGGTCATACTTCATATCAGGTCTAATCAAAGCGTCATGCTCATTCAAACAAACAGTGCCCCCCTCAGATTTATTTATTTATTTATTTTTAGCTCTTTTTTTATATGCTACTGTCCAAAAGTTCGGGGTCAGTAAGGTATTTTTTTGTCATTGTTATTATTTTTATTTAGTTTAACTTAAAAAAATTATAATTTCATTCAGCCAGGATGCATTAAAATGCATTCAAATGACCAAAAGTAACAGTAAAAACTGTTTTTGTTCTGTTTACTATTTGTAATGTTGCAAAAGTTTTCTTTTTCAAATAATTGCTGTTCTTTTGAACTTTCTATTCACTAAAGAATCCTGAAAAAAAAATAATCACTGTTTCCACAAAAATATTAAGCAACACGACTATTTTCAACGTTAATAATCAGAAATGTTTCTTGAGCACCAAATCAGCATATTAGAATGATTTCTGAAGGATCATGTGACACTGAAGACTGGAGTAATGATGCTGAAAATTCAGCTTTGCATCACAGAAATAAAATACATTTTACAAAATATTCAAATAGAAAACAGCTATTTTAAATTGTAATAATATTTCACAATATTACTATTTTTAATGTATTTTTGATCAAATAAATGCAGCATTGGTGAGCATAAGAGACTTCTTTCAAAAACATTTTAGAAATTGTGTCAACCCCAAACTTTTGAATGGTAATGTATAATTCAAAAAATGTTTAATAATATTATATGTATACTGTGAAAATGTATTTTCAAAGCTGTAAATAAAGATTATTGGAGTATGTTTTACAAGAAAATACTATTTCAGTTTTTCTACTTAATTTCATATTCAATTCAATGTATTACTTGCAATTTCTTAGAAATAATATTTTATTATTAAAAAAATTACAATTAATTTCATAAACAATTTCATAAACAATTACGGATTTAAAGTTGTTTATACACAGTGTTTCTTTAAGTGTTTTATGTAAAGTTATATTAAGATTTGTATTAAAGTCATATTTTTTTCTCATCTAGGGCATGAAGTGAGCCAAAAAAGATATTGGTTAATGACACACCTGGGTATAATTTATTGAGTAAACTGATTTGAATTAAATACTTTGATTTTGACAATCACTTTTTGCCCCTGCAAACTGCTAACTGCTGTGCTCTAAAGTGCTATTGTGATTTGATTTATCTACAAAAGTCTGTAATTTAAAGCGTCAGCCAATCTAGAGAGGTAAAATGACACCCTCTCCAATCTTTCCTGGTGGGTAAATTTGACCCTAAGAGAGTGCATTAGTGTGCATTGGAGCATTTAAAGTCTGGCATTTTGGCATCGCATTACATTCAACCACTCTTAAGCTGTTAGAACTAATTGGACTCTCTCTCATTTCATTATCTAATGTCAAACTAAAGCACTGCTTTAATGCACTTAAAGACTTTTTTAGAGACTTAAGTCACGGCAGTGCGGCTGTTAATATTCCCACGTGCAGATCCCTTAAAGACGTGATAAATGGTGTCTAAACCCTCAGCCAACATTAGCAATTAGCTAGCATTCATCAGTGCCCTACTACACCTGAAAAGCAGCTATTAGCCTCCAGGCAACAAAACACATATAATAAATGTGCCTCCTGCAACCTAATAATTTATACATTTGCGGAAAGCCAAAATAGCCGACCTGAACAACCTCGGTGTGTAAGCCAGCAGTTTACAAAGAAGTGACAAATATATCTCTCTCTCCATTTGGATACGTCTGCTACAGAATGATCAATAGCGCAACATATTTGCCTAAAAGTTCTGGAAGGAAAAAAAGAAAGTGAATATGAAGATATTTGTGAATTGGTTATAGGGCTAATGTAAACCCTTAAAGCTTGTATTTCTCTATTGGTTATTGATTAAATGGATATTCCAGGTTCAATACAAGTTAAGATCAAACTTGTTCTTTCTTTTCTTTAAGAAAATGGGTTACAGTGAGGCACTTACAATGGAAGTGAATGGGGCCAATCTGTAAGCGTTAAAATACTCATTTTCATTAATACAGCCACAAGACATAATATGTGTGACCTTTTCTGTGAACCCATAAGTGTTTCATGGGCTGCCTTTGAATTTTAGAAGTCCTTCAGACACAAAACCCTTTATGATTCCAGAGTTTCTAAGGCATCGTAATTCTCTAGAGTTGCCACCTTTTGTGTGCAAATGGATAGTATGGTGATAATTTATCCCGCAGCCTTGCTCATTGTATGCCAAAATAGAAATCTTCCCAAGCATTTTTTTTTCTTGGATGCTCTGGGCCATTTTCAGTAAAGCAGCAAAGCCTCTCCTTCTCATTTCCCATTCTTTGAATGGGGCTTGCTTGTCCAATCAAAAGGACTATGGACTCTGTGCTCCTTTCTGTGTGACAGTGGATTACCGCTTTTGTTGGTGATGTTGCTATATATTGTCTCAACAGTGGGATGTCCTCAAAGAGTTTGTCCTTTCTGGGTGGACTGACACTCATGTTTACATGCACAGCATACACACAGTAACACAAGCTCGATAATTGCTGTTTGGCCAGCCCTGAGGGTGTTAATATTAAGCTGGCATGAAGCGAAAAGAGTGCCATGAAACTGCATTTGTAAAAGTCAAAGTTCTGCTTTAGTCAGCAAAAAGAAACCCACAAGCCTTTCACAATTTGCTCTTTTTTTCTTCATTCTCAGAGTCAGTTTGGAAAGGAGCTTGTGAATATTCCATAATGATGGCACGTTCCCTATACAAGAATGGTACGTTTTATCTTTATACATCCATATGCATGAACTCTGCAACAAAAACGGAATAAATGAAATTATATTAATATGTGCATATTAATATTAATATTAATTTTGATTAATTTACTGCTTTTGTTTGGCTTGGTTTTGTATTCCTTCCCCTTGCTTTTGTTTTGTTTTTCTTTGTTCTGCTTTCCCTTTCTCTGCTTTTGTTCTGTTTGGCTTTTTGTTTTCTGTTTTCCTTTCCTCTGTTTTATTTATTTTTCCTTCCATTAGCTTGTTTTGTTTTTTTGTTTTGCTTTCACTTTTTCTTCTTTCATTTAGTTTTGCTTCTCTTTGCTTTTGTTTCATTTTCCTTTCTGTTATATATTAATAGTTATATTAATATAATTGTAATTTTAATTATATTAAAATCTGTGTGATTAAGTTGGGTTGGTAAGATTGTTTCATATTTTTGAAAGTAGTTTCTTTTACTCACCTAGGCCACGTTTATTTGATCAAAAAAAGTTTAAAACAGTAATATTGTAAACTGTTTTCTATTTGAACATATTTTAAAATAAAAGATTAATTTTCATCATCATTACTTCAGTCTTCATTACCACATGATCCTTCAAAAATCATTCTATTATTCTGATTTGCTGCTCAAGAAACATTTCTTATTATAAATGTTGAAAACAGTTGTGCTGCTTTATATGATTTTTCAAAATTGTATGATAAATAGAAAGTTCAGAAGAACAGCTTTTATTTGAAATGGAAATCCTGCCACTTGATATATTTAATGCATTCTTGCTGACCTCAGTGTTTTGAATTGTATTGTATATAAAATGTGTAGATTGTAGTGTATATAAAATGTGTAGATCATATACAGGTGCATCTCAATAAATTAGAATGTCATGGAAAAGTTCATTTATTTCGCTGATAAATGAATCTAATTAATTTGTTTATGCACTTGGCAGGCAGTTTTTTGCACAACAACTTACAATACTTTTGGCATATACATTTTTAAGTATGTTGTGGGTACAATTAAATTAGAATGTATTAATAAATGCAATTTATTGCATCAATACTTAAAAAAGGAAAAGAGCTCTTGAATGAAGATAGCAAGGACATTATTTGTGACTTGAATACATCATTGGATATCTAGTTTTATTTAATTTTATTTCAGTGAGAAAATTAATACAAAGTACAGTTTTAATAGGCTTGTTTTGCACATCAGTATCTATATAAATATCAGGATGGCTAAGGATAAGAGCTTTGTGACTGATTAATGAGATTTCAGTTTTATCTTTTGTTGAGGTTGTGAATGTCCAGTTAGAATCAGCTTTAAATTACAGATGAAGGTATTTAATGAGGGGGTGGAAGGCTGTGCTGATGGGAAATAATATATATTTGTGTGTCTTTGACACAATAATAGAAATGGACCAATAATGTTGTATTATTTGTCCAAAGGGAGGCATGTAGATTAAAATGAGTAGAGGGCCCCGGATAGATCCCTGGGGGATGCCCTGCCTAACAGCAGCAGAAGAGGATTTATGTCTCTGAAAAGGAACCAACTGCTGCCTGTCATTGAGATAAGACGTGAATCAGAGGAAAACAGTGCTAGTGATGCCAGTGGCTGAATAGATATGTGTAGCTTTTGTTTAAATAAATGCATCATTATTCTCAGGTTTAACTCTCCAGGGATCACTTTCCTGTGATTTGTTCACGCATCATGCAACCTCTTTTGACATCCTGAATGTCTAGTAAATATGTGATAAAAATGTGTCTGCTTACAATTTAGCATTTACATAAGTGTTTCAAAACAACAGAGGGATGTCTTCAACCTTGAAATGACTAATCAAAAAGAATGTTACAGAATCCACATGCATCTCATGCTTTCATAATTGCCTTGTTCAGCACATTAAAGTGTTTTGTTATATCTTCCCATCTCTCATTTCTGTATTTATTAAAGTTGAATTTGTTTGTGCATGTTGTAAAGTACAAAATAGTGACACACTAAGTCCCCAGAGAGTGTGAGACAGGCCCGCTGTTGCTCAACAGGGTGCATATCTGTAACCTTGATGTCAAATGCTTATTAGCACTTGCTTCTAATGTTGCCCTTCTCAAAGCAACTGCCAACACCGAGAGCGTCGAATAAATGCACCCTCAATGTGCTCTGACAGCACTCAGCCCTCGCTTAACTGCGGCGTTTGATTATGTGCTTATTATATACCAGTAAACAGATGCGTGGACTGGTGAGGCTGAGAAGGCTGATATGATTTGACAGGCTTTAGAAACAGGAACTGAGTAGACAATGGGAGGAAGTGAAAAAAAAAACACTTATTTAGCCTCAAGATGCAAATGCACCCCATCTGCAACTCACTATTGGGCCTTTCACACTTGAAATTGGATAAACACAATCTTGTGTTTCAGTTAGGTTTCAAGATTTCACATTGTACATTGGTAAACCCTGTGTTAATATTTTCAATTGCATATTTATGAGGTTAATAACATTTGATTTGACAAATATAGCGATGTGTACGACCATGCAGTAGGTTTTAATAACTGTCCATGTGTGGAAGTGTTACTATGAAGATTCAGTTTGTTTTATAGTCTATCAAAAAGTGAAATTTCTGTCATAATTTACTCACCCTTATGTGATTTCAAACATGTATTTCTTTTTTGAAACACAAAATATTTTGAAAAATGTCACAGTGAAAGTAAAGGTGACCCCAATGTTCTTGAAAATATCTTTTGTACAAATCTTACTTTTTACATTTCAAAATCTCCATTAAATAATAGCCTATCCAGTAAGTTTTCTAAAATATACAGGAAAATAACAGTTTATCACTCTCGTTACCACTTTATAAGTTTTAACTCTAAAAGTTTTTCAGGCTGTGCAAAGCCCATGAATATTTAATAAGGCGAGCACTGAGGCAGTTTATGATTGGTTGTCTTCAGTGGCGACTGGGACTTCTCTAGAGTGGGAAAGCACAGATGTCACTTATCAATGTCAAAATGTGTGCTCAGATCTATTTTTTATTTTAGTGTCTGCAGTGTTTTCCAAAGAGCTTCACTAAACAGTGAAATTACTTAAAGGAATAGTTCTGGGAATAGTTAAATAGACCAGGAATAGTTAAATAGAAATTCTGTCAGCATGAAATCAAAGTCATTCAGGTTTGGAGTGACTTGAGGGTAAGTAAATTACAGATTTTTTTTGTTTGTTTTTGTTTTTTTTGGGGTAAACTAGCTTCTTAAATAATTGACAAAACTCTAATACATTGGCTGTTTGTTGCAAAGAGTCATCCATTTAAGAGCTCAATCACCCAATCATCAGGACAAAAATAGATTAAAAGCCTAACGTTCAATGAAAATCATCCAACCAGAACTCAAAATGACATTTTTACAGGCTGTTGTCCAATTAACATTGATCTTTGCTCCATGATAATGATACAGGTATCTAACCTAGACTCCCATTGAAGCAATGTTTATACTCTATGTTGCTAAACAACCCCAGCATTCTAGATCCACAATTTCAAAATGTCAAATGTGTGAAATATTGATTAGCCTAGGGTTAAAAGGGGGGTTTAAAATACCATTATTCAAGGGTTAAGAGTGTGTGAAAAGCCCTTTCTGTGATCTGCACTAGTGGGATATGATGACTGTGCCAGAAGATTTTCACTGCTCTTGTTTCTCTTCTCTTTGTTCTTTTTCTTGCCTACAGTCTACGAACTTTGATGCCCATTTTGTTCTGTCCCCCATTTCCATGTCCCAGGATGATTTGTGGGGCTCACTGAAGGGCGAAGTGGGATTCCACCAGGTTAAAACAATGAGATCTGAGTGGGAAAGAGATAGATGAACCGACTCCAACCACATTTGTCTTCGGTTTAACATTTTCTTGTATCAATTGTTTCAGGAAAGCTTGCTTAATATGCATTTCTGAGCGTCCTGGTGCTGAAGGAAGGAATGAATCAATAGAACTCTGGAACAAAAGAAGAATAGCAAGACAATTTGGGATTTCAAGACTCTAATTAAGAACAAGGTACTTCATTCTGCCTGTTGTAATGAGAGCTCTATAACAAATGTTGGGACCGTAGATACTATATAAGACTGTCCAACTAATCTCTCGTGTTCAGTATTGAAGTAAACAGCCAACAATATCGTCCAGCTCTTAAACTATTCTGAAATATCACATGACATGTTTGAGTTTGTAAAATTGGATTCACTGTCTGTTTATGAACCCAATAGTAAACCTCCTCCCTCTACAATGTCATGAATTAAACTAATGGCTAGGGAATAAGACAAGGAGCATTGGGAAAATATGTAAGTGCGCTCATGTGCAGCCATGTGCAAAATTGATATTTCACAATATCTGATTTATCACGGCTCTCATTCTGTTTAGCGTCATTGTCTGTTTATATTCACTTTTTTGCAGTCAGAAGATTGTGTTTATGCACAGAGGTCGAAGAGAATTTTACAACCGAACAGTGTACAGCTGTGATGAATAGTCAGTTTTGACAGTGAAATGGATACTCTAATCTATATATTGACAGGCAGTTGATAAATGGCATGAAAGGCAGGTGTTCACTGATAATGAGCTAGCGAAGCAACCAGCTGATTAAACTCCAACTTTTATTCCAGAGCTCAACTTCCTTTGATTCATCCTTTGGGAAAACACTGCATGGATGAATGCAAGAACGTTGCTCGGTAGCTCTACTTCTGGGATTTAAGATGCATACAGTGTTTGTAGCATTGATACAAATGCCGAAACTGTTCATTTAACTACATTTCTCAGTAGTGAGAATGTAGCATTGCTAGTTTATTAAATCATGTAGTATTTTAGTAGTTAATCTATTTTCTTTACTTGTATGGCAGAAGACATTACATTTTACCTGTTGGTATTTCAGCAATCAAGTGTTTGATATTTTGTATTGTCTGTTTAGAATCTGAACAAGTGATTCTTTAATTGTGAATGAATGACTATTTAGAGTTTAATGAATTGGTCAAGCTAATTAGCAAGGTGTTCTGAATCAGTTTGCAATCAGTTTAGAATCAGAACTAGTGGTATTCGATTCATGAATGAATTACTCTTTTGAATTGGCTCATTCATTAGCTGCATTTCCATCACAGATTTGCACAAAACTTTTGCGATTTTTAATAAATGTCGATAAAAAACTAATGCGTTTCCATTTACCGATATTATGCGACTAATACATAATTATTTTCCTCTCGCAATAAGTCATTTCGATGGATGTTGGTAGGTTTACGTATATCACAGCCACTGCACTAGCCATTATTTTTAGGCATGAGACGTAGGCATGTATCTTTAGCGAAGCAGCATGGAGAGCCGCTTCTGAAACGTGCCGCGACGTGACTGGTATAAACACAAGCACTGACTAGAGTGGCCGTGATCAATGCGCCGCAGACATGTGCAGTGTAAATTCTCGGCAAGAAAAGCCCCTTATACTTGAGAGCAGCTACTTATAAGGTGTTTCTTGGGGGTTTCCATTGCAATTTTGTGAAAAATTCCTTTTTTGAATTGCCTGAAAAACCACCTCATTCGAGCGTAAAATCTTTTTTGTGATATATAGGAGTTTTTGCGAAATTGACATGTTTGTATTGGGCATATATATTTTTTTTTTTTGGCATATTTACGTGTTTCCATGGGTAATGGAAACGCAGCTAATGCACTGAATTGTAAACCAATTTAGAATCTGATCTAGTGTCTCAAATCACAAAACCACTTTTTAGAGTCAGTTATTTTCACTGAATTGCTCAAAAGGATTAGCAAGGTGTTCTGAACCAGTTTGGAGTTCTGTTTAGAATTAGAATTAGCCATACTCAGTTGATGAATGAATCACTATGAGTTGGTTGTTATCAGTGAATTGAATTGCAAAACAGTTCAGAACAGCTTGCCCACCAATGCATGTATGTATGTGCTACTTTCCTAATATTTATGATGGCACTCTTGATTAATATTAGTGGGAAGTGATATGCTTTCAATATAAATATTATTCTTTCAATCAAATCCAAGCCAGTTATTCACGCTACAAGCTTTTATGGAGGGGAGCGGATATGCATCAAATCTTTCGCTGCAATAGCAGTAAAATGCACGGTTGGGAATCCAAACTTGTAAAAACACTCCCAAGGACTATTGCTGTTCCAGAAGGTGCCTGTGGTTTGGTCCTTATGGGATTGCGTTACGAATAAGAAGAATGATGAATGGACTGTCTCGGGGCTAATCTGTCTTCTGAGGGGTTAAACAGCATTCGATTCAAACCTCGCTAACTAAACCTCATTTTGTCTGAAGACAACATGAAAGCACTTTGTTGTGTTAGCTGTGGGAAACGTTGCACGTAGACGTTTCTTTCTGATATCAGGGCATGCCAGACATGACAGTTTAAAAGCTAGAGTCTGTTACTGTGCAAATGAGCGAGGTAGTGTCATCTTTTCTGTTTTCCAAAGATATCTTTAATCAATACCATTTATTTCACTGCTTTACCTCAAAGTGCATTAGTATTTTGCATGTTTTAAGTGAAACAGAAATGTGTCTCGGGTTTAAAAGCATTTTTGGTGTTTGAACACACATAATTGTGCAATCTCCTGTCTTCTGCTGCCAGTGAATGGAAATTCATTCTTTCAGTCTTTACATCTGAATTCAGAGTGATAAAAAATATCTCAAAATGCTTATGGTTTACATTTCCCAATACACTACCCTTCGCATGCTAATATACATTTAGCCTTTTAGATATAAATGAGGCAATTAAAAGATGTTTATAAATTATATGCCCAGGGGTTGATTTGCACTCTGTGTATATCATGAGAGGCGAAAGGTCCCAATAAAATATAAATATAAACCACTCAAGTGAAGCAGCTTTAATTAGAACACAGCTGCTGCAAGGCCAAAGACCAGCACCAGTACACAATGACCACTGGTGGGTTTTTCCACTTCATCGTTTATATTAATCTTGATATAATGTTATAAAATAATGAATTGACATTAATGATTTCTCTAGCAGAGGGGAGATTAATAAGACTTCAGAAAATGAGGTCTTACAGAAATCTCCAAGGATTTATAAGACATGGATTTCTGAAGGATCAATGCAAAATGTTCATAATCAGTATTTTTGTCTTTTTTTTTCCTACTACAAAATACCAACACATCCTTAAAGGGGTCCTATTATGCTCTTTTACAAAGTCTTGATTTTGTTTTGGGGGTTTACTAGAACATGCTCTCATGCTTGGTGGTTCGAAAAACGCATTATTTTTCACATAATTTAATTTTCGATGACTGTAGGCACACCGGCGGCGCCGTTCAGTGTCTGTCCGCGGCGCCCAGCTACGTCGTGTTGTACTTGTAAGAATTGTTCTAGACATGCCGAAAATTTTAA